GAGAAGGGGATTTTTTTTTTTAATTTCTGTTTCTTCTGATTGGTTGTTTGTGTATAGGAAGGCCTCTGATTTTTATGTGTTGATTTTATATCCTGCTACCTTGCTAAACTGGTGGATGGTTTTGATTAGTTTCTCTGTGGAGTTTTTAGTGTTTTCCATGTAGACTAACAAATCATCTGCAAATAAGGACAGTTTTACTTCTTCCTTCCCAATTTGGATTCCTTGTATGTCTTTTTCCTGTCTTATTGCTCCCAGTGTTGTGTTGAAGAGCAGTGGTGATAGTGGACACCCTTGTCTTGTTCCTGATCTCAAGGGAAAGGATTTCAGCTTTTCTCCATTGAGGATAATATTGGCTGTGGGTTTAATATACATGGCTTTTATCATATTGAGGTATGTTCCTTCTATGCCGAGGATTTCAAGGGCCTTGAACATAAATGTGTGTTGAACTTTTGTTGAAAGCCTTCTCCGCATCTATTGATATGATTATGTGGTTTTTATTCTTCTGTCGGTTGATGTGATGGATTACATTAATTGATTTTCTGATGTTGAACCATCCTTGTGCTCCTGAAATAAAGCCCACTTGGTCATGGTGTATTATTCTTTTAATGCATTGTTGGATTCTGTTGGCTAAGATTTTGTTGAGGATTTTTGCACCGGTGTTCATTAGGGAGATTGATCTGAAGTTTTCTTTTTTTGTGTTTTCTTTGTTAGGTTTTGGTATTAGTGTAATGTTGGCTTCATAGAAACTATGTGGTAGTTTTCCTTCTTTTTCGATTTTTTTGAAGAATCTGTGTAGAACAGGCCCTACTTCTTTTCTGAACGTTCGGTAAAATTCATTTGTAAATCTATCTGGTCCTGGGCTTTTATTTTCGGGGAGGGTTTTGATTACTGCTTCAATTTCCTTGCTTGTAATTGGCCTGTTTAGTTTTTCTATTTCTTCTTTATCTGCCTTTGGGTGGTTGTAGAGTTGTAGGAATTTGTCTGTTAAATTGTCCAATTTGTTTGCATATAGTTGCTCATAGTATTCTCTGATTTTTCTTTTGATTTCTGCTGGATCTGTTGTGATTTCTCCTTTTTTGT